TGATACTGTTATGATATAGCTTTTATGATACTAGTGCATGCCTGTTTATATTAAGTTATGGTAGCTAGAACTGTTATTTTTGTTATCAAAGTAGTTCATAGCGAAAAATGTGGTGGGTACTTTGAATACTTCATAAAAAACCAATCCAGGTTACAAATCCAGATGAAATATCCCCCTCTGTACTTATATAAATTAACAGGAATTCTGGAAATCCATTGGTAAGATAGGCGTTGCACAGTCAAGAAATAAAGAGGTACCAATGGAGGTAGTAATGACTGATGGTAGCATATCTAGCAATATATTACATGTTTTGAACAGATGGAAAAATGATTTTAGTAATCTTTTAAATAAAAATAATGAGCCTACGCACAGTTAGTTTGCTTTTACTGATCAAGAAAATGGTTTAAATGCTAAAAATGAGAGTTTAAATTGTTGCATCACTGTTGAACAAGTAAAAACAGCCATTTTTAAAGCTAAGCAAGGTACACCAGTGGGTTTTTACAAAATTCCATTAGATATTTTCAGAAATAACGGATGTGTTTCATTTTTGGCCGGATTGCATATGTGCAAACCCGGGTTATAGTATGGTTAATGATGGGCGGTGGGCGGGCGGGCGGAGGGCTGGCGGGGAAAAATTTTTGTAACAGTTTTCTCAGCAACTACTTATCACAGCCTCTTGATATTTACCAAACAGCATTGACACGTGGGATTCGATTTCAGATCTGACACTTCCTGTTTATCAACTTAGTTAAATTCTTGACATTAATGGCCAATGATAGGAAATTTTCGTAACAGTTTTGTTAGCAACTACTTATCACAGCCTCTTGATATTTGGCATACAGCATTGACAGGTGGTCCCATACTGTGGGATTCGATTTCAGATCTGTCACTTATCCACTTCCTCAGCTTATCAACTTAGTTAAATTTTCGACATTAATGGCCAATGATAGGATATTTTCGTAACAGTTTTAACAGCAACTACTTATCACAGCCTCTTGATATTTGGCATACAGCATTGACACGTTGTCCCATACTGTGGGATTTGATTTCAGGTCAATCACTCATCCACTTCCTGTTTATCGACTTTGTTACATTTTCGACATTGATGGTCAATGGAAGGAAATTTTCGGAACAGTTTTCTCAGCATCTACTTACCACAGCCGTTTGATATTTTGCATACAGCATTAACACAGGGTCCAATAATGTGGGATTCGATTTCAGGTCTGTTCCTCATCCTTTTCCTGTTAATCGACTTAGTTAAATTTTCGACATTTATGGTCAATGGTAGGAAATTTTCGTAACAGTTTTCTCAGCAACTACTTATCACAGTCTCTTGATATTTGCCATACAGCATTGACATGTATTTCATACCTTGCGATTTTATTTCAGGTCTGTTGCTCATCCACTTCCTGTTTACTGACTTAGTAAAATTTCGACATTAATGGTCAGTGGTAAATTTCTTTTTTCGTAACATCACAGCATCATGATATTTGGTATACAAATGCAACCCGGCCTTTTCTGTCTTTGACCCATTTATTACATATTTTATTTAATGTGTGGTTTTTCAACATGAACTATGCCTTCTAACTGGGGAACTGCCCCTATGCACAAGTCTAGTACTGCTGACCCTCGTGATACACTATCTTACAGCGGTAAAGCTCTACCTTGCTCCATGTATAAGATTTATTGTTCTATATTAAAGAATGGACTCTCTAGTTGGGCTGAAAGTAATAACATCTTAGCTGATGAACAAAATGGGTTTAGAAAAAAATAGAAATAACATAGATCATGTCTCAACACTAAGTACATATGTAATATTATTGATTCAAGGAAAAAGCTTACACAGTCTACCTTTCGTGTCTTTATCGATTTTAGAAAAGCGTATGATTTTATTAATCGTAGTCTGTCATGGAAAAACTGTTTGATACTGGCATTGAAGGTAGCATGTTTAATGCCTTGAGATCCTTATACAAAATGGTTTTATCTGTGTTAGAATACAGAATGGTTTTAAAAATCCATGTGGTTTACGTCAAGGTTGTTCGTTGTCACCTTTATTGTTCAATTTGTTTTTAAATGACCTTGTCACTAAGATTGAAGCTACAGGAAAAGGTGTGTCAGTATCTTACTGTATATCGTACCGACGATATTTCACTTATAGCGGAAAATGAAAATGATTAACAAGATCTCTTAGATGTTTTGTCAAATTAGTGTTATGTAAATTTTTTGATAGTTAATCAACAGAAGGGCAATATTGTACACTTTAGACCACCATCTGTTGAAAAAACCACTCTTGCTTTCACTTGCAGTACCCATAGTCTACCACTCGGTATACATATCTAGGCATTCTTTTAAATGAACATTTAGATTTTTGTAAAACAGCAACTCTGTAGCTGGAAGAGCACTCGGTCTCCTTATTGCAAAGTCCAAAAGTCTCGGTGGCATGCCATACAATGTTTTCACCAAATGGTATGGCCTGTTATTCCGTATGGCGCCTCCATATGGGGTACTAAGTCTTATTCGCGTATACACGCAGTGCAACATCGAGCTATGCGTTTTTGTTTAGGTTGGGGAAAATACACCCCAACTGCAGCTCTGTATGGCAAACTTGATTGGCAACCACCGCATGTGAAACAGTGGGTATCGGTAGCTAGGATGTGGCATAGATATCATAGAATAAATATAGATAGACTGAATTATAAAGTTTATGCATATTGTTATTCTTGATCTAGCACTAGATGTAAAAACTGACAGTTCAACTTTGTGTAGAACATTTAAAATTGATAAATTTATCACATATATTAGATACATGTAATGTTTTGTCATCTAGGAAATTTTGTTATATGCTTGAGCAAAATAGTATTAATTTGTTTATTAATAAATGGAAACAACGCGTATCTAGTCAAAATGGTTCTGTTGGTAGTACCAGAAATAAATTACGCACATATGAAGTTTAAATATCAGTATGAAACTGAAAAATATGTATATTTACCAATGCTTACAAAGCATCCATCAGCATTAGCAAAATTTAGATGTGGAGTTGCACCCCTCCGTCTGGAAACATGAAGATATGAGAATTTAGACGTCAAAAACAGGATTTGTCCAATTTGTAAACAAAATGTTGAAACAGAAATACATGTTTTAACACACTGTCCTGCTTACCAACTTCTTAGAAATGTTTTATTTGATAAAGCCAAGGATATCAATGCTGATTTTATTAATATGAATGATGAACAAAAAAGTATGTTTGTACTCTTAAATCCCGAAATTGCCAAATTAACTGCCAAAACCTGCCGCCATAATTTATTTCTCTCACGTTTTGATACTTAAATATATTTTATTTAAATGTAGAATTCATTTAAAAATGTACATAAATGTTGTATCATTTTTTATTTTTTTAAGGAAATTTCTTTTATGTTTGAAGCTTAACGTAGATAACCATTGCTAATCAGTTCATCTATGGTCTGATCAGGATTGATATAGGTCTTTATAGGTGTATTTTTTATAAACAGTTATCTTCATCATTATTATAATAGGGCAGATCTTAAAAGTATGGTTTGGCAATGGTAATCTAAATTTGAATAAACAAGTAAAGGTGAAGAAATGTTACTGTCTCACATATCATTTATTACAACATACTATTTTATCAATGTTTATATGTCAGGATGGAATATATCATTTTGAAGATATGAATAAGAAAATATTATACTCAGAAACAATCAAAAAGGTTTAATCATTTTTATTTTTTATTTTATTTAGTTGTATAACGATAGTCTCCTTGGCCATGCTTTTTGTATCTGCATTTTATAAATGTTTTGTACCATGTAAATATGCATGGATGAGACACAAATAAACAAAAAAAAAAAACTGAAATTATAACACATAAAATGAAAAATAAATAAAAATAAGAAAGTAAAATGGCAAATAAAGATCAACAATTAATAATGCGAACATTATTTTAATAAGCAAATGTTGTCCATTGTTTATATAATTATAGATTTTTTTCTTAAAAACATTTCGCTTTCGGCATACATGTACTTAGAAATAGTTTAAAAAGATTGGCCAATGTATGTTGTTTGCAATTTGTTACAACAATTATATATTTTTTTCATCAGGTGATGATACGTGTTATAAAGCGACTAAGGCGTTTTTATGTTTAAAGTCACCATACATTTTCTTATAAATAATTTTAAGTTTTTTTATTGCTTTTTATTGTTACGTTTGTCTATAATCTTTGGAGACTGTTGAATACTATTTCACAAGTAATTAGCTGATAAATATATTCAATATACTTAGAAATATTTAAAGAGAAAACAATGCACCAGGACGACTAACAGGCAGAAATAATAAAGCTGACATGGGATCATGAGTTTTGTACATATTTATTCAGTAGCTTGTTGTTATGTTATAGCGTCTAGTTTATCACCTGGAATAAGTACACGTAATTCACTCTTTCAATGAAAATATTTACAACCCAAAGTAACATTTTTTTTGTTATTTTAATTTTACTTTCAATTTTGTAAGAAGAAGCTAGCGGATAATATGAGGTTGGACACTTTAAGGCCCTTAAGTATGACAACAACCAATTTATACAAAGCCCATGTCCCATATGAGCCACCGTATCAAATAGTTGGACACGCCAAGGTCATTAAACAAAAAATATAGTCTTTTTGCATTGCAACCCAAGATGAGACAGATTTCTAAGAATATGGCCGATACCTGGCCACCAACTGAACAAATATAGTCGTATGAACCAATTTTAGATTATCTGCGAAGTCAAGACCCCCTTTTTACCCAAGCTTCTCTCATTAAAAAGGCTAAACAAATTGGTATGTTCAATATCATTTGCTGAATCTTACTATGTGTTATAATGAACTACATATTTTATCAGTTTAGGTTATCATCATTATGTGTATACAATTTTTTTCCAAATTCAAAGCAGGGTAGGTCATTTACACAAAATCAGCTGGTTAAGCGTTATAGTCTGTCATTATTTTGAATAGGGTTACAGCTTCATAACACAGATAAAGCAGTGAAATTGTTCTCAAATAAAAAGAAAACGACCACTTTGGAAGATGATAAGGCATCAACTAGAGGTCATGTGATGATTTCTTACCAATGGGCAGATCAGCAGGTACTTAAAAATGTACGAGACAACATCAGGACAAGGGGATATAAGGTATGCTTACAAAATTACAATTGAACAGATATATATGTGAATACAATTTGCCACACAATCAATAATTTAGCTGAAATACAAAAAAGATATCGCCGCATTCACTATAAAATAATATTTCAATTATACAAACTTTAAAGTTTGGAGGTTTCAACATTAACTTGAAGCTAAATTGTATAACGTATAGCTAACTTAATGTCCTCACTATGCTACTAAGACTAAGTTCCCTCATTATACCATCAATACTAAGTGTCCTCAATATTTGAACAAGACTTTATGACTTCTCTATGTCAACAAGACTGTGTCCACACTATTCGATTCAGGCCAAGTGTCCTCAATTTTCCATCAAGAGTAAGTCTCGTCACTTTTTCATCAATAGTAAGTTTCTTCACTATGCCATCAATACAAAGTGTCCTCGCTCTTCTATTAATACAAAGTATCTGTACTCCGTCATCAAAGCTAAGTATCTGCACTATTCCATCAAAACTTAGTGTCCTCACTATGCCATCCAGAATGAAAGTGGTCACTATGCAATCAACACTAAGTGTTCTCATTATGCCATCAAAACAAAGTGTTCACTATGCCATCCGGACTATATGCCGTCACTATGTCATCAAGACTAAGTGTCATTACTGTTCCATCAGGACTAACTGTCCTCCCTGTTCAACCAAAACCTTCACTTTGCCATGAAGACTAAGTGCCCTCAATATTCAATTAAGACTTAATGTCCACACTATGCAACCAAGATTTAATGTCCTAACTATGTTAGTTTGTCTTATATTAGTAAAATCTTTATATAAAACGTGTCTTCATAATAAGATTATTCTTTTCTTTTTGTTCACAGTGAATAAATGGATGTTGAAAGTTGCCCTTATTTACAAGGTGATCATGTTTTGGATATGATCTTTAACACAGGTTTACTTTTATGTTTTGATCCTTAAAATGATGTTTCGTAAATTCAGGTTTGGATGGATATTGACCAGATGGGTGGATCCACTCTTCAAGCTATGGCAGAGGCTGTGGAAGGTGCTGATGTATTCCTCATGTGTATGTCCAATAAGTACAAGCATAGTCCTGCTTGCAGGGCAGGTAAGTGATTAAATATTTTGCAAACTATTTAAACACATTTTCCTGGCAATAGTTTCAAGCATACATGTTGCTGCTATTTGAATAATGGATAACAGACCCAACTATCGTATTGGTTTATTCTCAAATAATGTCACGGTGAAAACACGCTCTTACTTAATAACTAATGATAAAGATATTCTTAAATAGATAATCTAAAGAACATTAAAGAAAATACTTTTTTCAGGTTAATAATGAGGAAAAAGAGAGTTGGATGTTGGAATTTGTAATTTTTTGTCTGTAAAATGGATGGCTTCTTTCAGCACAAAGCAACTAGCCAAATTGATACCTGGTACACAATTTAGCATGGACTGACCCTCACACCCTGATCATGAGTCCTCGCATGCCAAGGCCTTCACTAACCATTAGAGGTTTCAAAAGTGTTAACTATGATGTGTGGTTGGGCTGCTTTGTTTTCAATTTGCTGGTGCATAATCATCATCAAATTATGTTTTACTCTCAACTATGATATGTTTTTTTTGTGCAAGTTGCTATCTCCAAAACTACTGAACGGAATGAATTGAAACTTCACACACTTGTTTGAAAGCATAATAGGAATTCAGTATGTAATGTCCATAACTCCAAGATGGATTCTTTTTATAATGGCTCTTTTAAACTTAGAAAGCTTTACATTATCAAGGCTCTTGTTAACTAACAAAAACTGTGAATATTCAAGCACACTGTCATACAAAAGTGTTTGTTTTTTTTCCTTTGCCTTTTCATTACAGAGGCAGAATATGCATTTCAACTACGCAAAAGGGTTATTCCATTAAAGATGGAGAGAGGATACACTCCTGATGGGTGGCTCGGCTTTATAGTGGGCGCCAAGTTGTTCTACGAGTTCAGCCAAAAGTATCCATTTGAAGACAAGATGAAGGCCTTGCTTAAGGAGATAGATAGTGTACTAGGAGGATCCGAAGATGTTCCTGATTCAGGGAATATTATCAAACCTCAGATTGCTTCTGTAAGTCAAGAGGATTAAAAGGACCCTTCTTCGGCCTGCTGTCACACGTTTGGTAGATTGACTATTTAGTTGAATCGACACATTACTAATTGTGTTTTGGTCCTTACCGTTAGTGATAATGTTTTTCTGACAAGTTATATGACCGAGTTTAAATGACTGAAAGAGTATATGATGATTTTTCTGTCAAAAGCTGTTTATAATTGGCCGCTTGATCTTTCAACAACTTTTATCACAGTACTGTGAATTACTTTGTTAAAGTTTTATTTAATTTTACTTGCTTGCCTTAGATAATTTATATTAATTGTGAACTCTTAAATTGAGAAAATTGTTACTGTTTTTGTAAAGAGGTAATTATGTTACCAAGGGCTGTTCCGTAGCGGTTACACTATATTTTTCAATTTTTCTTGTAGGTAATGGAGGCAGCAGGTGCCCATTCTGTTGATCATGCAGATACAGCTTCTTCGCCGAGTAATGCCGTTGGAAGAATATCTGTTTCTAAGACAACCATTGATAACGTGAGAAAGTGGACGGCAGACGATGTTAAAAAATGGATTGTCAAGAACCGGCTTGAGGAGTAAGTACATTGAAATGAATTTACGTTTTAAACACGTTTCCAATAATATATAACAATATTTTGATATTATTGCACCCAGTGAGCTGTTTAGTTTGGCAGTTTGTTTGACCACCAGTGATGTCAAAATTTAACTCAACTTTAAATCGAAAATATATGCGTGCAAAAGGTAGGTTATAAATGAATGATAAGTAAAAGAGGTGTAATGACAATCAAAATATCAAAACAATCACATAGTCTGACAGTTACTTTTCGCCTGGTCTTTACTTTGAAATGTCCTGTAGTGATATTCGCATAAATCAGATAGGTTTTCTTAGTGTTTGTATCACACGGGTCTCATCTTTTGATATAATATAATAACATCAGCATCACCGTAATAAATGAGGATGTAATGAGTAAAATTATAAATGTAAAAATGTATAAACAAACAAGTTTAAGGAAACTTCCTGTTTGCTTGATTGTTCGAAGAAAAGGGAGATCTTTTACACTCACCAAAGTGTAAGTGTTGGTTTCGGCCTCAGGGTAATCCTTTGGTTTTGTGTGTGCATGTTGGTTTCTATAAAAAAGGCTGAAACTTCACATACTTATTCTCTTTGAAATTCTTACATGACATCATTGGAACAAATCGCATTAAATTTGTACATAGTTACACATTTCTAACTGTTGACACTGAAAAAGTCGAGCATATTCTTACAGACAAATCTTGTTGTTATTTGTATTTTAATATATAATTAATATCTCAAATGCAACAAAAAAATCAAACACATTCACTTTACAGGGGGGAATATCTTGCTGTTCGATAACTGTTAAGGGGAAACTTAGCAGTAACCCTCCGCCTATATAGACAGCCAGTATAAAATTTAAATATAATTCCTATTGTAATTGGGATTTGTAATGGAGAATACAGAATACTAATATCTTCATGTAAGATGTAATTCCATAACACCATTATAATCTGTTACAGGTGCGGTATCAGCAGTTTAACGGGCGGAGACATCGCACTTCTCGCTAATATGCGAGTAGAATGTCCCGATTTTTTCTACAAGTGCCTCCAAGATATGCTTAGGGTTACGAATTTGTCAACATTGTCAACTATAGTCTGGGCTTTACATGATTTATCTTAAATTAAACATGTGCTTACATATCTTTTACACCACTTATATATTATTTAGTTCAGTAAGTTTAGTTAGTTGAATAATTTATTGATGTAATCATTTAATTGAATCACATATAAATATTACTGGCCGTTTTGAACGGAAAATATTATTGGAGCGCCCCAAGCGTAATGGGTCCAATTTGGTCCGGAGTATATGTCCTACAAACATAGAGGGATTTTGATGAAACTTCAAAGAAATACGCACCAATATGAGAACCCGTGTTGCACTTAAAACAAGGTTTCTAGGTCAAAGGTTAAGGTCACACTTAATGCTCTAGAAAAATTCTACACGCATAGAGAGATTTCAATAAAATTTGGCACAAATATTGTGATGGGAAGTGATGCGCACTGTGCAGCCAAGTTAAATGTCACACTAGTGATTAGAATAGAAGGTTCATTTAGTCGTCACTTATTGTAAGACTATATGGTCATTATCATGACCATGATTGTGACACATGCAATTTAGAAATACAGTATTCATTGCTATGAAACATTTCGCTCCAGGTCTCAAGGTAAAAGATAAAGGTCAAACTTTAGAGGTTATAGAATAATGCAGGTTCGGAGCGAAACTTCTTTTTTTCATCGGTGGATTGTAATATAGCTTATCTCAATTGTTCGACATTTTAAAGCAGAGAGTCGCTTGCGTAAGACAGGTCCCTTTGGCTAAACTCAAAGTCACACAGAGGTCAAAGTTCAGCTAAAATTATGATGGCGATAGAAGCATTTAGTAATCATTTATTGGTGGTGCGTTGCCAGAATTACAGCTATGACACATGTATTGTAGGTTAATATATTCAAGGCGTATTTCACATAATATGATGAAATATGCAAGCTTTGTCTGGAGCATATCTCCTTCACGCAGGATAAAAATTTAAGACTACTTTATATTATATAGAAGTAGTCATCGCCATGAGACGTATTGCTCACGCATGGTCCAGGTATTTAAGTCAAAGATATAGTTACACTTAGAGCTATGTCCTAGGCAAAACTTCTTAATTCATGGAGGGATTTTGATTTAACTTGGCACAAATGTTTACAATTGTTAGGTGCACTTGTAAAATTCAGATCCTTGCGACAGAGTCTCACAAAGATATCAAAGTTCAGATAAAAATATGAAAATGTATAAATTTAGGAACCAATACTTCATCATTCATTGATGGATTCTTAGATTAATGGTAACTATCATGACTATATGTATGACACATGTAATTTCGGTAAATACATGCAAGGTCAATATCACTAGAGAATATTAAATATCCAGGTATTGTCCAGAGTATATCTCAGTGTTCAAGTATTACATATAATGAGGCTTTTGGTAATGGTTGCAGTGAACAACCTGTTGTTAAGAAGTGTGTTATTACATGCTTTGTCACATTGTCTTTAATAACATGCCCTACCACAGTGTATGTCATTACATGTTCTTTTACTTTGTCTTTAATTCTATGTTTGTTTTATCACATTGTATGTTATTGCGTGCTCTATCAGATTTTCTTTAACTACATGCTCTATCATTATTTCTGATATTACATTCTTCATTACAATGCCTTTATTACATGCTCTATCACATTACATGTTATCACTTCCTTATCACATTTTTGTTAGAATATATCTTTTATTATTGCTTTATCAAAGTATTTGTTGTGTCGTGTCTGTAATAACATGTTTATCACATTGTTATAACATGTTATATCTATATATATTATAAACTTCAAATTAAGGGTGTAGTCACATATTATACGCATTTTATGTGCTCATCATTATTACGCTTTTAAGTTCAATTCAAATCAAAGTTTTACCACTTTCGTTCTTTCGTTATTTGTCGGTAAAGGTGAAATACTCATACAGTTCGACAACATTAAAAAATATATATATATATATATAACAGCAAATGCGATTATTATACCACAACAATATTCAAAACGTGTAATTTGTTAGTCGCTATTATTATACATGATACGGTTTTTATTCAGAATCAGAATTGTATGGGTTTTTGAAGCAAAATAGTTATATTAATGATTACAACAATATATGAGTAGATAATATATGACACATAATTAGAAAGTCTCACTAATCGAAAATTTGATAAATTATATTATAAATACGCCTCAGTGCATGGGAGATAACACAAATTAATGTGTATTTGCTTTTCATGTATAGTTATGTCCCCTTTCTATTGAAATTTATGAACACATATATATATAAGAGACTAAAATGATTGTGTACATATACTAGATACATGCAGAGGTATGTTCAGATAATATGCATGTATATTTTGTAATATTATATATTGTTCAAAATTTATTTGTAATATATGTACCACATGGGTTTATGACCTTCTGGTTTGATTGAATAAAATCTTGAAATCTTATATCTCATTTTCTGATATTAAATGCTCTTTGGCATTGCCTGTTACTGCATGCTCTATTATATTGTCTGTTGTTTCATGCTCTGTTATTTTCTGCTATTGATTTTTTTCTAACACATTGTCTGCTATTGCATGCCCTTTTATTTTCTGTTATAACATGCTCTATCTCATTGTCTGTTGATACATAAATATAAGTCTTAGGTTAAGATTAAAGTCTTATTGAAACTCAAATGAATGTCATTAAAAATAAAAAATACATTCTTATCTTATTTATGCAAGGAATGTAGGTAATTTGGCAAAATTTGAGACAGTTTAATTAGATTTTTTTCCAGGTGACAAGCACTATGAAAGATAAATATAAAAACATTTACATGTATTTGTAATGATATTTATCTATAATATTTTACGTGATGTTTTAAAAATCAATCGAATGTTAAGTCATTTCATTATTTTGTAATTTTATTTTTCACAATTATGATAATTAATTTATTTGTGTTTTACTTTTTTTACTTTTAATTGTACATTGTTACTATTTATTGATAATTGTTTTGTTATTTAGTCTTATTTCGAGTCATATAAAAGTTGTGGATCAAAATTGCAACATAATATGGAAGCATTTAATCCATATCAAACCAAAATGGGACAAAGACTCAAAATAAAATTCTTCCATTAATTTAATATTCAGTTATGTGTCTTATCTTGGGTAGAAATATTAAAGGTAAATTTTGAGGTTCAACTTTGAGATTAAATTTTAAAGTGTATACAGCTTTGTTTTTGTTTTCTGTCAATTATAGTGGTAATATAAAGAAATGTGTCAGTATAACTTTTGTTAAAGGTTTGTGGGGCATTTGTGAAATCATGGCCGAACCTATTAATATAGGAAAAGAATATTTCATTAAGATTATAAACGATACAGATGAAGTAGAATATAAACAAGTATTTTATATATATTACATATATCCTTGTGCGTCTTTATCACCTTTTTTGTTCGCCATGTATCTTAATGACATAGAAAAATATTTTATTATAAATGAATATGAAGCAGTTAATTTAAGTTTCTTAAAATTGATTTTACTTTTATATGCAGCTGATATCGTTATTCTATCTGAAACAGAAGAAGGCTTACATAAAGGTTTATTGTTATTGGAGAATTATTGTGATAAGTGGAGATTGACTGTTAATATTAAGAAAACTAAAATAATGATTTTCAGAAAAGGCAGACTAAGACAAAACATTTCATTCGTATATAAAGGAGAAAATTTAGAAATTTCCGAAAAATTTTCTTATTTAGTAGTAGTCTATACAACTGGTGGATCTTTTAATACTTCCTTTGAAACACTAATGGTCAGGTCTTGAAGGTATAATATATACTACAACTAGATTTGATTAAATTTACATGTATAACTGCGAAACATAAACTAGACCTTTTTGTTAAATTGATCTCACCAATTTTAAACTATGCTTCAGTGGTAAGCTGTATATATCATTGTTGTAAATAAGAAAAAGTGCATTTAACTTTTGTAAAAAAATGTTAGGAGTCAGACTACAAACTCAGAACAATTTTATTTATGGAGAACTAGATAGCACAAATTTGAAATGCAGAAGAATTGTAATTGTAATAAAATACTGGCTTAAAATTATAAAGTTTGAAGATATAAAATATGTTAAAATAGTTTACAATTTATTGTACATAGAGTTACCGGTAAGATCTAACAAATACACATGGGTTAGAAGTGTTAGAGATTTATTACAGTCACTTGGTTTTAATTATGTATGGTTATCTCAAGGTGTAGGCAATGCAGATGTATTTATTAGTTTAGTAAAACAAAGAGTAAATGATGTTTTTTATCCAAGATAAGTTTTCAGAAATAAATAATTCAACTAGAGCCCGTACATATGTAATATTTGCAGATTTTAAATTTCGAAAGTATTTAAACTGTTTTAATATTGAAAAATTTAGAATTGTTCTGTCCCGGCTTACAGTTTCTTCACATAGACTCGAAATTGAAACTGGCAGGTGGAATAAACCTTGTGCGATACCTTTTGATGATAAGAAATGTAAAGATTGTTTCATTTTGGAAGATGCATTTCACATTATTTTAGAATGTTCTCTATATAATGAATTATGAAAAAATATATAAAAACAAACACTTTTGGAAAAGACCAAATATACCTAAATTTGTTACATTGATGGTTTCAGAAAATGAAATAGAAATTAGAAACTCATCAATGTATATATTTATAGCTTTCGATTTTCGAAACACTATTCTTTACAGTTACCCAAACGCTGTATCACTGTTTCTTACATACACTTATTTTCGTTTTGTTTTGTGATTTACTTATTGATAGGATTGTATCTGTCATTAGTATTTTAGTTCTTTATTTAAATTGAGACATGTTGATACTTGTGTCACTAAGTGATAGTATATTCTATTATTAGTTTACGTTTTCTGATGTCTAAAAAACTGTGTAACTTAAAGATATATGCTTTATAGAGAAGTGACATTGACCATTTGATTGTATTGTATGCTTTACTATATGTACTGTGCATGGGCATATTGCCAAAATGTACTTTGAAGTAAACTCTTGAAAACTCTTGTGTGGGGGCAAAGTCACTTTAATCAAACTTCATTAGAACAGCCTTCAGGTTGTCATTAGCAATGACACATATTTGAAGGCATGCTACCTACTTAAGATATATTTTGATCCCTCTATACATGCGTAATGTGTGAATACATACAATTTGTTTGTTTTATTTTCATATTTTTCATAATTATGATAATTTCTATAGAAGTGCTTGAATCACTTTTATTGTACCCTTTACAATTGTTTTATGTTGTTGTTGTTGCTGTCGTTGTTGTATGTGACTTTAAGCTTAAACATTAAACCTCAAAATTCAATATTTGTTTTTCATCAGAAAGGTCAAACATATCTTTGTAATGTTTTAATAATGGATTTAGAGCATATTAGATGATAACAATTGAAGAATTGAAGAAAGTTGCGTTTAATGTGCAATGATGTATCATTAATGTTACAAACGTAAACAAAGTAGTATTAATTTTGTATTTCCATACAAAATACTAAATTCCTATGATTATACAAAGTTGGTAAAAGCGAACGATAGGTCATCTTTTTGCAAATGAATAAATTTTTGTGAAGACACAGACAATAGAAAGTTTTTCAGAAATAAAGTAATATTTTCAGAGCTAAATGCGCATTTTAAGTCTTAAGTATCTGTACCTGTAGTATTATTTTTTTTATAAATGTTTGTTTTAAAAAGTGTTTAAAAGGGTGGTTACTGCTGTGGTATTGTGAATAACTGCATGGTTGGACTTTGCTTTCGTGCAGAAAATATTTAAGTACTAATCAAACTAGATTTTTTCATTTAATCTAAAAAATGTTTATTGCACAATTAGATATCATTGTAAGGTTTAACACCACTACATTTGATACACAGTGGTAATGGAAACTTAAACATCAATATAATTATAATCTATTTCAAAATGGTACACAAACAATTTATTGTAACTTTATGCGACTTGTTTCTCACATATATATGTATTATTTTGTTTCAAGTTGCATCACACTACATACCTTTGCAGATTTTATAGTTTATGTTTTTTTACGTCATGATAAAAATTGACATGGTGTTAATAAAACCGTGTTCAAATTAAGGTACTTGTTGTTTACCACGCAAAATATCTTAAATTGACTTGCTATCTATAAATATTGACACAACTTTTCATCATTTTGCTAGCTTAGTAGGTGGTTCTACTCAGGTTCCCGTTCGTGTCTGAAAAAATACACGGAAGGGTATATGAGGTCTTCCTCCACCAGTAATGCTGATCCATACTGTGTCAGTGTGAGGTAAATCCCAATCAAACAAACATGACGCCTACCAAAAACCGGCTCTTTCACATTTTGGTGATCTGTTTAAATGAGAGCCCTCGATACTTCCGTTGTATAGCCATCGACCAAAACAAAGCAAGAACAGGTAAAACATACTTTCTAAAAATATCCGTTTTTAGAAAACATGCTTGTTTTTTTTAAAAAATCGAAGAATGCTATGCCACGTAGAACATTTTCCTCATCACTTTGCATGCAATTTCGATATGAAATACCCCACAATGACGTTGCTAGAACTTTTACGAAATATTAACTTGTGTGTTTTCCATTACGTTGAGAAATCACATCGTTGAAATCACATCTTTAGTGATTTCTTTACCGTAAAGAAAATGTCTGCCCAATTTATCGTGCATGGAACAGGATCCTATCCTACCCTTTGGCTCAACACTTAAACATATTTCAAATAGGTTGGTTAAAAATGAAATATTTACATTGTTAAAATATGCTCGAGTCATCGACTCGGTGCTGATGCCATCGGTAATGTGAAAGAGCTCTCGAAAATGTGATGGAGCCAATACAAAGATATAATTAATTTCGAGGTAGTGGAATTATCGGGATTTATATTCATTCACTTACCAATGAATCTCGAAATTAAATGAGATAGGGTTTTTATGTACATATGTATTATAGGTTTAATGAGGGTCCATCTGCTCCTTTCAGGGACTGACACAGTACATGTCATCATGCATGTCCTTAAATGTTATTTTCAACCAAAAGGTGTCCTATAAATTTTGAATACAGTTATTCACTGAATGACACTAAATATGTATACAAGTCAGTTTTTGTGATGATGCTATTTTGATACACGGATGTCAATGTCTGAGACCATTTTATGCATCATGGGGAAAAGGCTTTGCTGCCAAAATAAATGATCATATCATTTTAGACGAGCTTCACTGACTGATAAGGTAATGCACCTGACACATGTTTTGCGGATGAATGGCCGAAATGAACGATCATTCTATCCAGTTATTTACAGTCGAATTGGAATGAAATTTTAGCCCAAAATAGGCTCATTTTATAATTTTGTATAATTCTAATAATGAGAATACCCAAAACCGATGAAATATAATTAAAAATAC